GCTCCCTCACATGGTGGTTGGCAGGCCTCAGGTCCTTGCTGGCTGTTAGCCAGACGTTAGCCCTCTGACCTGTGTCTTTCCATAAGACAGCTCACAACAGGGCAGCTGGTTTTCCTCAGAGTGAGGGAGTGAAAGAGTGAGAGGGGGCGCCAAAGACGGAAGCCACAGCCTTTTTGTGACCTAATCTCTGAGGTTCTAGTCTATCAGTTAGAAGGAAGTTGCCAGGTCCAGCCCACATTCAAGGAGAGAGGGTGTGAAGACAGGAGGAGGACATCACTGGGGGACTGGACAGGCTGCCGACCATAGGTTCTAGGCAGGTAATATGATAAAAGACCACTACACGGAACAGTGACACATCGATTCCAGAACGTGGTGATTACAGTCTATCACAAACAAGCTGAGTCTGTAGAAGAAGCCTTGCAATTAAGATGGCATTACCAGAAGGATGTTAATGCAAAATGTGCTAACAGGTGGCAGTCATGCTTACAGAAGGTTTTACAAACTCATTTTTATTAAATATGAAATAGACACAACATGGTATTTATAAAATAGATGCGAGGTAGAGGGAGTTGTGATAAAATGGAGGTGCGTGCCTATAGGACCGTCTCAGCCAGCCTGAGAGAAAGGGGATGGCCATGGCTTTTGAAGCCTCCGACGCTCCCCTCTTCCCTCCCCATCTGGAGCTCACGGTCACCCAGGATTTTACAGTCTTTATTCACTTGCTCGTCTTCACACTTTTACCACAGAGGCTCATACCCTTACATGAGGCATTGTTTGGTCTTCCCCGCTTTGGACTTTGTATAAATGGGATCACACTCTATGTATTTCTCTGTGATTCGCTTCTTTCACTCAAGAGTATGTTTCTGAGATTTATCCGGTTGATGTGTTCGCACTGATGTTTCCAGCTTGACCCAACCTTCACTAAGCTCTTCATCTATTACCAGAATTCAAGAGCAAACTCAATTGGGTTATTTGGGCCACCGGCTTTATCTTCACTTTTCTATACAATGCTGGATGGCTATCCCGCGACTCATCTCTATGCCTACCCAGTGGACATTAGGGTTAGTTTCACATTTTGGTACGTAAATAGTGGGGTTCCTTTACATCTGCGCAAACGTCCCTCCAGGGGCTATACCTGGGGAAGGAACTACGGGATCAAATGTATATGGATGTCTGGGCCTTAACAGATGCCACAGGATTGATCTCCAAAGTGACGGTAGTGATTCACGCACTTCTACCTGCAGTGAATAAATGCTCCAGTTTTTCCAAATCCAATCCAGTATTTGATAATGTCTGACTTAAAATTTTTTGTCAATCTGGAAGGCATAAAATGAATTTCATTGAGGTTTTGATTTGCATTTCTTTTTTTTTTTTTTTTAAAGATTTTATTTATTTGACAGAGAGAGATCACGAGTAGGCAGAGAGGCAGGCAGAGAGAGAGAGAGGAGGAAGCAGGCTCCCTGCCGAGCAGAGAGCCCAATGCAGGACTCGATCCCAGAACCCTGAGATCATGACCTGAGCTGAAGGCAGAGGCTTAACCCACTGAGCCACCCAGGCGCCCCTTGATTTGCATTTCACATGAAGTGTGTGTGTATGCACGTGTGTATATGAAATTACATGTATGTGTGTGTGTGTGTATATATATATATATATATATATATTTTTTTTTTTTTTTTTTTTTAAACCAGATTGGTAAGTGCAATCCAGTGACCAAACAAGACTCTGAACTCCACACTCAGGTCTTAGCCACCATCCATGTAACTATTTATAAGTCATTGTTACTTTAACTCATTGTCATACCAAATTCTTTGGTTAAAATTTAAATGTAAACAATCAAGATTTATTTATTTTTAAGATTTTACTTATTTAATTGACACAGAGAGAGACACAAGAGAGAGGGAACACAAGCAGCAGGAGTGGGAGAGGGAGAAGCAGGCCTCCCGCTGGGCTCGATCCCAGGACCCCGGGATCATGACCTGAGCCGAAGGCAGATGCTTAACAACTGAGCCACCCAGGAGCACCTAAAGAATCAGGATTTATAATAATAACTTAGTGTAATGCCTATGTTGCAAAGTGGTATATGGTAGAAAGTCAAACAGTGAGTAAAGAAAATAATTTTCAGGGCACCTGGCTGGCTCAGTTGGTGGAGTATGCAACTCTTTTGATCTTGGAGTCATGAGTTCGAGCCCCACATTGGGTGTAGAGATTACTTAAAAATAAAATCTTTAAAAAAAGAGAATAATTTTCATGGGCATTGTCCTCCTTTTGCATTTACTTTGATGTAATATGTGAAGGTGTTGAAGAAAATTAAGGGGGAAAGTGAGTCATGTCTCTCTAGTTTATATTTATACATTGTCTCTGCTGTCCAAAGGGTATACATACAAGGGAGTGGACCCCAGCAGATGGTGGTGCTTTTAAAGTCTTAAGTGGAATTTACACACTCCAAGATTTACAGTGAGGTCTTAAAAAGGAATTACTTTCAGTATACCTGGGTGGCTCAGTCGGTTAAGTGTCTGCTTTCAGCTTAGGTCGTGATCCCAGGGTTTAGGGATCAAGTCCCCACATTGGGCTCCTTCCTCTGCGGGGAACCTGCTTCTCCCTCTGCCTGCCACTCTCCCTGCTTGTGCTCACTCTCTCTGACAAATAAATAAAATCTTAAAAAAAAAAAAAAGGAAATACTTTCCTTAGATGTTATTCTGCATGGTCAACATTGGACTACAAACATGCTGAAGTTGGAATTGATTAAAATGTTACACTTAGTGAGGTCACATCCTGATTGGACTATACCCAAGAAACACATTTCAGGACAAGTTCAAGTTCCAAGTATAACACCAGCTGCAAATGGGCAAGAAATCAGGTGATCAGGACTAGCTGGTGGCAGTCTGTTCTTAGAGGCAGAACTAAGCAATGGAACTTGCTGGCCGCTTGGATGAACTCTGATGCTGGCCTGGACCCCAGGTGTCTGCGCGGAGCCTGTCTGGGGACAGAGGTCCGCAGCGACAGGGAGTGGAAGTTGGGTGCTCCTAATGCAGCCCTTGGAGCTTCCTTCTCTCAAAGCTAGCACAGAAAACCGACCAAGAGGACTTCCACCCACATACTGGCGGAGTATAAACTGGCAATGGTTTTAAAAAGCAGTTTAGGGGGGCGCCTGGTTGGCTCAGTGGATTGAAGCCTCTGCCTCCGGCTCAGCCCATGATCCCAGGGTACTGAGATCAAGCCCCGAGTCAGGCTCCCTGCTCAGCCAGGAGCCTGCTTCCTCCTCTCTCTCTGGCTGCCTCTCTGCCTACTTGTGATCTCTGTCAAATAAATAAATAAATAAATAAATAAATAAAATCTTAAAAAAAAAATATATATATATAATATATATAAAGCAGTTTAGCAGAGCACCAAGACCTTAAACATGTTTCTATTTGCTGACTATGTAATTCCAGCCTTAGGATTCTTCCCAATCATTCGGGTTATTGAGGAGAAATAAACTCATTCTGATTCTCTCAAGAAACATTAAGAGGCTACAGGTGCACCTGGGTGGCTCAGTGGGTTAAAGCCTCTGCCTTCGGCTCAGGTCTGATCCCAGGGTCCCCAGATCGAGCCCCACATTGGGCTCTCTGCTCAGCAGGAAGCCTGCTTCTCCCTCTCTCTCTCTGCCTGCTTGTGATCTCTGTCTGTCAAATAAATAAATAAAATCTTAAAAAAAAAAAAAAGAAAAAGAAAAGAAAAGAAACATTAAGAGGCTACAGACAACGGAAACCCAGGAAGGTCTAAACATCCCAGCCTGGGAAGTGCACAGACCCAAGGTCTGTTGGTTTCACCAGCTGGATAAACTCCACCTAGAAGTTTCTCGACGTGCCATCTCTACCCCTCCTACTCTGGTGCTTGGTTACTCCCCTGCCTGCGCTAGCGTTCCTTCACCAACTGACTCTTGCTTACTTGGTTTCTATAGCCACAATCATTTTTTTGGCAAGACTACCTCTTAGTTGACTTTCTCAGTACTTCCAGGTTTGGACTTTGAGAAACAGAATCTGATTGGCCAGATCCAAACTAGGCAGCTAATGAGTCTTCAGCCCGTGGAGGCTTCCGGGGCCCTTGGATCAGATGTCCTCCTGTGGCCCAATCAGCTGGGGGAAGAGGGAATATCCTCACCCACAGCCGCTCAGTGCGGAGACCAGGGGTGGGGCCAGTTCTCTTTATAAAGGACTTAGGGCTGGCAAGTACTGTAATGGACATTTCAAAGGAACCTCAGAAAAAAGTTCAGAGATGGAGCCAAGAGGTGGATTCAAGTGCTTTCACAACACAAGCACACACGAATGCTGAAAAACTCTAATGACCATCAACAGAGCAGTGGGATAAACTCTGGGCTGCGGGCATGGCACAATGAGGAGCGAATGCAATGACTTTGAAGGATATTGAACACGGGGAAATGTTAACGAAATAATATTAAATGAAAAAGCAGACCATAAAACTGCATGTACAGTATGATCAGAATTCTCTAAGGGGTAAAAAAAAAATTGCTTATGTTTGTTTTTTCATCCGTAAGGGAAAGTTAGCGGTTAGTGGTGCGATGACTGGTGATTTAAATGTTCTTGATTTCGTCTTGTAGCTTTCAAACGTTGCATAACGAACAGATACTATTTTTATAATGGGGGAAATACTAAGTTATTTGTTAAAGTTCACATTCCTCACTTTTAACTGGGTTCTCGGGACGGGCCAGCTCTCTCTTGCCCTTCTCTCTGGGCTCTCAGCCCCTGGGGCTCCCAACTATCCCCCGCAACACGCCCCCCCTCCCGCCCCGTCTACCCTCCCGCGGTAGGAGGTGGCGGGGGGGGGCGTGGGGGGCGGGGAGGGGGTATTCTCTCCCGCCGACCCCCCGGGCCGAGCTCCTCTCGCTTGGTTCTGTCGCCTCTCCGCGCATTTCCCTTTCTCCAGTCTCGAAAATGTCACTTTTCTGGGCCGTCCTCGGTCTTCACCCTACCATGCTTTTCTAACCAAAAAAGGCTGGCACAGAGGGCCCGTGGCTCGGCTCGCGGCGCCAGCGCGCCGCACCTCGGATCTGGTTCCCCAGGGGCGCCCTCCCGAGCCGGGCCCAGCCTGGCCCCGCAGCGCCCTCCCCCGGATCGGCGATTTCCCGCCCGGCCAGGTCAGGTCTGCGCCGCCGCGCCCCGCCTGCTTCCGCCTTCCGGCCGGTCCTGGACTCTGCCCTGCGCGCATGTGCCCGGTCCGTCATGGCTCCGCTCCGTTTCTCGGCCAACGTGTCGTGGCTGTTCCCCGAGCTCCCCGGGCTCCCCGCGCGGCTCCGGGCGGCCGGCAGCTCGGGCTTCGAGGCCGCCGAGGTGGCCTGGCCGTACGCGGAGCCGCCCGAGGCACTGGCGCGCGCGGCGCGGGAAGCGGGGCTGCGGCTGGTGCTGATCAACACGCCCCCTGGTGCGCCGCGGGGTCGCAGCGGGGGGTTCCGGGAGGCCCGGGAACGCGAGCCGGGTCTGAGGCCTGTTCTCTCCGCAGGAGACCGGGAGAAAGGGGAAATGGGGCTGGGGGCCGTTCCTGGGAGGCAAGCGGCCTTCCGAGAGGGGCTGGAACAGGCAGTGCTGTACGCCAAGGCTCTGGGCTGTCCCAGGTATCCTACCCTCTCCTCCACCTCCTCCCCACCTTGCCCGGTCTCCTTCAAGCCCCTGCCCCACGTCTGGGGTCTGGGAGAACGCAACGCCAGGTTGGAGAGGTTCAGAAGTCCGCGCACTGGCCCTTCACTCTGCCAGCCCCGGTCCTTTGTCAATTGCCTTTTGTATTTTATTCGTCCTGTGTCATTGTGTTTGCCACACTTTCATGCAGGGATCCTGTGCCAGGAGCTCTGACCAGGGAGATAGGAAAGTAAACACAGGGAGTGATCCATTGGAGGGTCAGTTTATGGCAACTGTCTGGGATCAGAGGAAGCTTCTTACAGGTAGTGATGTTGAACTGGGGCTCGAATAAATGAACACGCGTTTGCCTGATGTAGGGAGCACGGGAGGCAAGGGTGCACTCACCAGAGACAAGAGAAGGCTTGGGGCGCTCAGCAGAGTTCCTGAGGCTGGAGATGGGGCCCTTTGAGGTTGGGTGTGGCCAAGAGAGATCAGGTGATGGCAGGAGGAGGTGGAAGAGGCAGAGCCAGGCGGATCAAATAAACGGCAACGGGGGTCATGACTGGTGAGTGGTGGGGGCAGAGCGCAGATGGGAAGGATCTAAGGAACAGCTGCAAGGAGTGGAGACGAGCTGCACGGGATACTTAAGTGAAGGGTCAAAATACCTGCTAGAGAATGAGGCTGACCCGAATGCTTATTGCCCTGAAGAGAGGGGCCACTGGAGCGCTAAATGAGAGGCCTCTCAGGCGGGAGGATGGTACCTGGGAAACGGCTTGGCCTCAGGCTGCCACAGGAGGGCAGGTGACAACCCAGCCAGTGGGGGGTGGTGGTGGGGGGTAGGGGGGTAGGGAGGACAGCTGGAGAGGCGCTCAAGGAGCCACAGGAATGAGGCCCTGCTGCTGTCAGGATGGCCTCCCCAGCCTCCTCCAGTGCCACCTCCCCCCAGGATTCACCTGATGGCTGGCCGAGTGCCCCAGGGAGCTGACCGAGCAGCAGTCAGGAGTGAAATGGAGACCGTTTTTCTGGAGAACCTGAGGCACGCAGCTGGAGTTTTGGCTCAGGTGAGACCAAGGACAGACAGAGTTGAGAGAGCAAATGAGGCAGGAGGCCGGGCACTAGCCCAGCTCAGAGGGAACGGGGACGGGCTTCACCAGTCACTGGTGGAGGGGGCACGAAACTGGAGCAGAGCTCTGTTCACGGGTCCGCCGTGGTGCTAGGAGAGCCTCGTGGGACTGCTGGAGCCCATCAACACCCGCATCACCGACCCCCAGTACTTCCTGGACACCCCCCAGCAGGGTAGGACCGCAGCCTTGTGCCTCCCCCAGTCCCCTCTGAATCTTGCGCTCTCCTTGGGTTTCACGGCCACCTCCCCCGTTTCTCTCCCAGCGGCAGCCATCTTACAGAAGGTCGGAAGACCCAACCTCCAGTTACAGATGGTAAGTGGAAGAAAGGAAATGCTTCTCGGAAGGCCCAGTGTTCCCCACATCTGGGGAGAATGGGGTGAGAGCAGGGGGGTGTGCAGGGTCTCTGACTACTGTTCTCTACCCAGGACCTATTCCACTGGCAGATCATGGACGGGAACCTGACAGGGAATATACGGGAGTTCCTGCCCCTCGTTGGTGAGAAGGGTCTTTTTGCTCCTTCTTGTCTGCTGTGCTCCCACCCCTTCAACCCCCACCCCCCCTCGCTTCCGCCCCTCAGGCCTCAGGTGGAGCCTGAGGCCCCCACCTGCCGCCATCTGTCTAGGGCATGTGCAGGTGGCACAGGTCCCAGGCCGGGGGGAGCCTGACAGCCCCGGCGAGCTGAACTTCCCCTATCTGTTCCAACTGCTGGAGGATGAAGGCTACGAGGGCTTTGTGGGCTGCGAGTACCGGCCTCAAGGTGAGGGGGCGCCGGGGCTCCAGGCCGGGCCCTGAGGTAAGGGAGCTCTGGACTGACAGGTATTGGACATGGCTGCTCTTCTCCTCATGGGCCGAGATGCCACCGCCTCCCTCTCTCCTCAGGAGACACAGCAGAGGGCTTGAGTTGGCTTCGTGCATACTGGGACAGGCGGGGCCACCCTCAGGCTGGCCAGTGAAGGCCCCGCCCTGCACCCCCCCCCCCCGTGCCTCTGGGGGACAGGGCCCAGGGCGGCCTGCATCTCCTGCATTAAAGACCACCTGCCGAACATTGTCCCATGTGTGTGTTATTGGGCAGTGGGAGGACACACAGTGTCTAACCCCTCGCTCTCCCGGGGCTGCTTCCCGCCTGGTGAGAAGGGAAGAGAAGGGACGTCCGGCTCACGCTCAAGTGCTCCAGTCTCCTGCGCACACGGGGGTTTCGGAGTCCACCTCTTCATTTACACACCACAGACCACAGGTCTGAGAGCTGAGGGACTTGCCTGTGGTCACAGGGGCTTCAGAGGCAGAGCAGGCATTGGAACCAAGGTGACGTATCTCAGTGGTAACGTCCAGCAATGATGTTCAAGTGGGAAATGAAGACCAGAGGGCTCAAAGCAGGGCGGGGTGGCTGCCGGCCATTGGGGCCTTGGAGGCGGCGTTCAGGCAGAGGAGCTCTTGGGTGAGCGCTTGCCAACTGCTGTGAATTCCTGGGACTCCACCAGGTGAGCAGGAAGGTGGAGTCCCTTCCTGGAAGGGCCCAGGGGACTGAGAGGAGATGGGCACCTCAGGGAGTTGGGCTACCCCTCTGAAGCTTGGCCAGTCAAAAGTGGCAAGTGCTCAGGAGGGCAGCTCTCACTGTGAGGCCGGGGCCGCAGACCCGAGACCTAGTCACAAAGCTTCTGGTGTCCCCTTCAGTCTGGACCCAGAAGGGCTGGTCAGTCCTGCTTCAAGTGGGCAAGCTTCTGGACCCCCATGGTCCAAGGAATGGTGCCATTCAGTGGTCTGGTCCTCAGAGGAGGCGGGTCCAGAGGGTGAAGCAAGCTGTGTTGATGACGGACTCGAGGTGGTGGTAGGTGGACACCAGCTGGGCAGGGGGGCTCTCGCTGTCCTGGGGCTGTACTGGGAAGGGCTCTCGGAAAACCACTGTCAGAGACTGTGGGGAACACGGGAGGGGTGCGGTGGTGAGGAAGGAGGGCAGGCACGGAGAGTAGGGCTCCCCAACTTCCCTAGGCTCTAGGGGAAGCCTCCCGCTAGGCTGACACAAAGCTCCTCACCCATTCTTACCGTCTTTCCCAAGTGGGAATCCAGAAACACCAGAACAAAACAGTCTGTGAACTTCTGATTCAGCACAACCTGCAGTGAAAGACCAAAGTGACACGGGGAATGAGGTCTGTGTCACCTGAGGCAGCATCCACCTTCCTTGAGGGCATTCTGGAAGTGGGGCCGGTCTGAGGAAGGCCTGCTCCCATCACCACACCTGAGCCCACCTGCATTCCAGGCCCCAGAACCTTGTCTCTAAACGGAACCTCCGTCCTCATCCTCGCTGGGTCCCCGTCAGCCCAACCAGCCTCCTCAGAATGAGGGGGAGGCACCTGACTGGAAGGCTTCAGAGCTCGTCTAGAGGCCCTGCACAAAGCTGGCACGCTGAGCGTTCTCTACCCTTGGCACAACTCCCCCTTGCCTCCTGTCCTTGGTCTTGCATCGCTCTGACCTCCCCTCGGACTAACCCCCTATATCTGGCTGTCCCTTTGTTCAGCTCAGTGATCTCTTCCAGGTGATTCCTTCTACTCCCAGGCTTCAGTGACCACCTGTTCACGTAGCTGTTGCCCAGGTCTTTCTCTCCTGGGCTCCGGTCCCCAGCGTCCATAAACCTTCTAGAATGTGGTCCTGGGAGGGCCTCATGGACCTCCGACTCAACTCATCACCCTTCCCCCAAATCCACTCCTGCTTCAGCGCTCCCCCCATCCACAGGAGAGCCCCCATCTGCTCACCCCTGCCCCCAACAACCACAGCCTTACCAACTCAACTCAGTGTCCCGGAATGCCCCTTCAGACCCTGAAACTCACCTTCCTCACAAGCATTGTTGTGGGACCCCTGGACCAGCGCCTACTTTTTTGGAAGTCTTCCAAATCTCTCCTCCCCACAACCACCGCTCTCATCAGGCTCACGTCTTCAGTCTCTTAACCCCCCATGCTGTCCGGCCAACACCTGAGCCTTCTTCCCTCTACCTGGCCCAGGTAGTGCTTTTAGCCTCTCCTGTGCCCCTGGGGATTAGGCTAGACCTGCTCAGTCAGCAGGTCGGGGCTGGGGCCTGAGAGCCTGCATTCCGGCAAGCTCCCAGGTGCTGCCACCACAGCCAGTGTGACAACCATGCTTTGGGTGACGAGGCTTTAAAGCCCCAGAGGTCCTTCTTGGGAGTCAGCCCCTAAGGCTGATGAGGTTCCAGAGCTTGGCCCTCAGGATCTCTAGCCAGAATGTGTTTTTGTGAGCTTTTAAGGTCAGAGCTCCAGATTGCTCTCACAAATCCTACGTCCAGGCTTGGTGCTCAGGGCTTGAAGGATTTCACGTGGATCCTGTTCCAACTAGGCCTCCCGCCAAAGCAGACCCAGCTAGGTTGGGGCTCCTTCAGGGACATGTCATCTCTCTGATAAGGCCTTCAGCTACGTCTCCCCCTTCAGAGGAGTCTCAGAGAGACTTACCAGGTATTGAGTTCCCAAGTCTGGGCTCTGGAAATGACGACAGCTCTGAGGAAAACGGCTTAAGAGAACTTTGATCAGGCTCTGGTACCAGGAGACCGTCATAGACAGGAAGCAGTCCTAGGGGAAGGTCCATGGGGCTGCATCTGCTGTCTGAGAGCCACCTGAGAGCTATGCACCCTCCACCCCGGCTGCTGCCAGAACCCCTAGTATCCAAACAGGCCCCATCTAGAACGCATGGCTGCTTACCAGCTGGGGGTCAATGTCTCCAATGGATTTGGCATGGACTGCTTCTAGGAGCTCCTCCAGCTCCGCCAGAGCCAGGCGCCCCCCAAGCCGTAGCCGGTCAGGCCCCGGAGGCTCCAGCAAGAAGAGGCGCTTCCAGAGCGTGTCCCGACGGCAGTGGCCTCCAGCCAGCCGGACCAGCTGAGCCAGCCGTGCCCGTGCCACCCCAACCTCTGCAGCCAGTGGGGGGAACAGGGGAGCCGGTCCAGGGGCCAGACCAAGCCCCGAGGCCTCCCCAGGGCTACCAGCCGAGCTCCCAGGAGCTTCCGGCTCAGGGGGCAGTCGGGGCGGCTTCCGGAACCGGCGCATGTCTGCAGTGAGTCTGGGGAAGAGCTCTCGTTGGCTGGTGAGCACCACGAAGAACTGCAGCCTGGGGTGGGGATGGGGTAGGAATGTGGTGATGAGAGTGGGACACAGAGAGAGCAAGGGTACTGGGAAGGCTGGGCCATGAGCACATTTGAGGTAGGGGATCTGCTCACCGCAGAACGTGCCGCTCGGCTTCTCCTTGCTCTTCAAAGGGTGCGGCACAATGACACACCAGCAGAGACACATCGAAGTCGTCCTGGTGACAAAGTCCCTCGGAGTCCAGGTAGGAGCCAGAGCTGTATGGTGGGGGTGGGGAAGACGCAGGCCCTGAGGTTCTAATGAAGCCACGCCCATCCTTCTGGCTCGAGAAAACACGTCTCCCTACTGCCCCCGGGGTGGCGGGGAGCCCTGACCTCAGCTCCGCCAGAGCACATGCTGGTGCCCCCCACACACCCAAGTTCACCTGTTCCACGCCGATACCAGGGCATATTCGTTATGCTCTGGGCCTCCTGGCCGGGCCATCCGCAAGGGCTTCATGTGGTAGGAGCTAGCGTGGTCAGCTACGTAGTTGTACAGCTGGTGGGCAGCAATGAGTGGTGTGGACAGCTCCAGTGTCCCTGAGAGGTGAGTTATAGGAGACGCTGAGCCTGAGACAGACATACTGAACAGGTGGGACGGGGAGACAGACATCCCTAAGGTTCTTATTGACAGGCAGACTGGCTGTTATTCGGGGGGGGCTCCTAAGGTCCTGGGGAACACAGAGGTGGGCCCAATGTGGCTCAGAATCTAAACTTTGATGGGAAACACCATGAAGAACTTCAAAGAAAGAAAGAAACCAGAGACACAGGGATATCGTCCAAGTGACATGAGGTGATTAACAATATGGGATAGGATGGGACAGGAGAGGTGGAGGTCTGGCCCCAGGAAGTGGTCCCATCGGTCCAGGTCTGGAGACCCCAAGGGGTCTAGCTCTGATTCACTGGCCTGTCCTCTGGCACCGACCTTGGTAAATGTGATTGCGGCCAAAGTGGGGCCCGTCGGGGTGGTGAGCCAGGAAGTGCCGCAGGAAGGTGGTCAGGTGGTAGCCGTGCCGCAGCACCAGGTGGGTGCCCAGCACGTGCTGGTGCACGAGGCGCAGGTGGAAATCATAGCTGAACGAGTGCACGTGCATCAGGTCACGAACCTTGTCGCACTCCTCCGTGAACAGCATGGACAGCTGGGGAGGGGGGCGGGGCACGGGTCAGGACCTGGCAGGCCGCTTGGCACATTCCCATTTGTCTCCCTCTTCTCTGGGAAGCCCCCTCCGCAGGAAGCCCCCCTCTGCGTACTCCCTTTTTCACACCGGAATACTACAACCGTTTTGACAGATGGGCCTTTTGACTCTACCCGAGTCCGCTAAAGTCTGGCCCAAATCACTGATGCAAAACATACTTGCTTAGTGCCCACCAGATACTTTTCGAGGTGCTAGGGATACACTGGGAGGGGGCGGACCTGGCCCTCAAGGACTGTACGTTCTAGCGGCGGGCAGACAGGAGGGCCAACGTTAGGCCACAGACAGGAGGATGTAGGACGTTAGAAGACAATGTTATGCAGAATCTAGCCAAGTGCCAGTTTTGTGCAGGTGGCCAGGGGAGGCTAGGCGTGGAATGCACTGTTGGGAAGTCTCTCCTGGTTCCTCCCATGTCTCCAGCTTGACCTTCCCATTCAACTACCTGCTCTTCCCAGGACACTGGATGTTCTCTTCACACTTTTGTACCTGCTTGTTCTGTCTACCTGGAATGCTGTTCCCCCTGCTTCCCAAATCTGGCTAGCTCCTACTCGTTCGTAAAGCATCCTCTGGGACACCCTGCCAAGGCTAGGCCAGGGTGGGCCTCCTTTAACTGATCTGTGAATGAATGAATGAACCATGGATGGAGGAAGAAAGGAAGGTGGAGACACGGAGCTGGTGCTTCTCCTGATGGAAGCCACCATCACTGAGAGTGTGTCGGCTGCTGGACCCGTGGT